ACAATCGTCACAGCAGAAATTTCGGAAACTTTTTACTATGTTCAAATATTCCCTGGTAACATTTTCATTTCCTCGTAACAATATAGTTGAGTGATTACTGTGGTGAAGGAAAATCGCCTTAGTAGTTGGTTTCCCACGCGTGCAGCCGACAGTGACAACTGTCAAAAGTGGGGGGCTCAGCCTCCCCCAACTACTTCCAGTGGGGGGCTCGCGCCCCCCTTGCCCCCCGGCTGATACTACGCCGATTATATATATATATATATATATATATATACATATATATATAAATATATATATATATATATATATATATATATATATATATATATATATATATATATATATATATATATATATATATATATATATATATATATTGTAAAGAGCGAGTCAAAGAACAAGAGACAACACCCGATCCTGGGCCAGCTGTTCTTCTTCTTCCTCTACCTTCCCTTAGCTGCCCACGCGCCCGAGCCCCAGCGTCTTTCTTCGTCTTGACACTCGGCCATGACTGCGCGCGCGCGGAGCTGGCTGCAAAGTTTCTGCTGGGTGGGCTTGGCTGGATCGTATTGATCGTCCCGAACCACAATGCAACATGGAGTGACGGTCTGGGGGAAGCGTCTCTGGTTTACGACACTGGCTGCCTCGAGCCGGTCGGTCAAGGCCATGGTGCACCTATGCTTGAAGATCTGTCAGTGTGTACTCAGGTGGGCGGAAGTTGCTTTGTCGGTGCGGTTGAACTTGTCCATGGTACAACGTTTTACTGACAACTCGTGGAATACCGCTCAGGCGGATGGCCCTGACTGTTCCGGCAAGGTCGCAGAGTAACCTGGAAATGCTGGTGTTTGTCCCACCGCCGTTGGTGGACTGAACTGCAGTGGGACGCTCTGTGAGGCAGCCGTGTGGACGTTTGTGCTATTTCTCGAAATGAGTTGCAACGCAGCTCATGGTTGGGCATCAATACCACAGAAGAACTCTCTGAAGTTGTCCAGCTGGTGGCTTCTAGCGAACTGTCGCTTGCAGACTTGGTGTGCTGGAAGGGAACAGCACGAGGGCTGGTCCTCGACAAGTTCTCAATGGCAGTGGCCTCAGCCTGGCTAGGTGTCTGGATTTTCTCAAAGGAAACATCCCTTGGGAGCCAAGTGTCTGCGCGGCTGAGCGTATGTGCGTCTTCGAAAATGAATGTATGAGTCGTCTGCAAACATGGCACATGGCTGTGTCAGGTTACGGCTGATCTTGTTTGCATCCTTGGAAAGGCCTGCTTTGTGAAGCGATAAGGAGTGCATTTTGTTTCCGACGATCATGGTCTGGTGGGGTTCAGTTGTGTCTGGTACGCTAGATGTGAGCGCCTCCATGTCCTCAAACGACAACGAGCGCGAGGACAGTATCTCCTGAGGAAGGTCTGGCAGTGGTATTCCCGGGTCTAATACCGATGCATAGTTCACGACCTGCAGAGGAGGACTGTGGTCACTTTGGTCACGGTCAGCAGCAGGAAACTCCTCGATATACTTCATTTTTCGAGAGGCGTCTTTTTGCAAGGCAGAAATGCTCTCATGTACAGTTACTGAATCATGTAAAACGTGCAGACCCGCTTTCGACTGGTCAGGGATGAGCATGGTGAAATCCACAGGCACGGGCGTTTGATGACGCGGTAGAATGTTCAGTAAGATGGAGGCTTGCGCCTCAGCGTCTACCGAGTGGTCTGACGACTCCGGATGGCGTTCGTTGGGGCCTGTCGCTGGGCGTTTCGCAAAACTTGCCGTGAAAGACCTACCGGACACAGGTGCTCCATCGGGCCGCTGCTCCATGACAGCAGAAATGCCTGTGCAAGGCAGAATTACCCGATCGAGATTGTTCCCTACATCTTGGTCACCGAGAAATGACAGGATGGTAGGGACTCGAATTGCATCTTCCAGGTCGGGCTTTTCCTGAGTTCCGTCCTGAGAGACGGTCGAGTTGCATGGGCAAGTGGCACAGGGAATCGGACTGAAAGCAGCTGTGAGCTTGAAGCTCCACTCCGCCCATGACTGCTGCTTCCAACCTCCATACCGGTGCCACGCCGCTGCATCTTCCCGAAGATGGTCAATAGCCACATACAATTTCTGATTTTCTGTCGAGGCCTCGCGCATTGCTATCGCGTTGACGGTTGCCACCCAGCTGTCGGCGTCGTTCCGGACCCCATGGAATTCCGGTAGTTCGCAGACGGCTGGTGATTGTGAGGTGGCAGGTAGTAACGCAGAGATCACCGACGCGAAGCAGTCGAGCTGGTGTGAGGGCTCGATCAGAAAAGACCGAAGCTCCCTGCGTTGCTCCGGTGTGCTTGCCTCAAGGTCGTGTGAGGCAGCTACGTCTAACACTGCGTTAATGTCACACAATGCTGCCAACATCGTAGGAGCTCGCTCGGCGATCAACGCTGTCAGTTTGTTAGTCTCGGCGCGGAGCAGTGCGATGGTACGCCGCAGCTCCACGGCACTGTCGCACGAGGCTTCTGAACCGCTTCGGTTCGCGTCCGTGAAGTACGTGGTTCTAGTAGTACTCCCGCTGGTGACACGCACGTCCAAGGAAGCCTGAACAGCGTTTCTTGGCGGCTCGTATGTTGGAAGTGTACCGGACAGGGAATGCAGGCCGTGGGAAGCTTGAACAGCATTCCCAAAGGACAGGATCCCGTGCGTATTACGGCCGCGAAGTGGTAGCATAGTGTCCATTGGGTGATGCCCTGGTAATACAGAGGAGGCATGGGTACCGTACACTGATGGTCCGATGGGCAGCTGAAGCGGCGGCCGGGTTGTTGACTCCATCACCAAAGAAGCGAGAACGGCGTTCCTGGATGGAGAAGCCCGCACTGCCGATGAACCACGAAGACACGTACTGGTAGCTTCCCGCCGAGGGTTAACTTGCCGGCTTGCGCTCACGGCAGAATCTATAGCCAAGGACGCGTGGACGGCGTTCCTTGTGAAATGGTACCGGTACACTAAAGGGCACTAAGTATGTACACTAAATGCACTAAGTATTATGGCCGGCTCCTGCACAGTGCACACACACAGGACACTGTACAGTGCAGGCTGGTATCACAGTCGAACCTTGTCGCAATCAATTCTCGCTATCGCAATCGAACACTATCGCAATCAAACCCGATCAAGACCGTACTTTTCAATCGCAATTAGCCTCTTTGTAAAAGCTCCAAAAGTGGGTCAATCATCAAACATTTTCATTCCTATGTGACTCGATGACCATTGAAAGTGCGCCAGGTGACCATGTGTAGAGAATTCGCACAATAAGAAGCAACAGATAAATAATGAGATCGCGCTGCAGAGAAACATGTGCGCAAGTCAAATGTTGTCTAGCTAGAACTCTCACAAGATTTCATGTTGCGCTACATAATGCAGCTATAGCCATGATGGGTTGCTTGCCACAAAACGAGAAAGCGGTGACATTCTGCTTCATTGGGGTAAAATTGTATTGCTTTAGCGCAGCTCAGGTAGCGCGTGAAGATGCTATACGGTCAAGAAGAGGAAACGCACTGTCATCTGGTTTTCTCCTTCTTGACCGTACAACGTCTTTTCTTCACGCTCAAAGTGAGCTGCGCTAAAGCAATATCATTTTATCATGCACCAACTCGCCTAGTCAGCAGTACTTGCCGGCTTCATGGGGGCTTTGCGGGCTAAAGATTATTTACGTATGCTTGCCGTGGCAATCAAAGCCCATTTTAAGATGCAAACCTATAATTAATCAAGTTACACAGTTGCATGCATTTCTTGCAGAAAAAAAATGTTTCATTTGCGCAGGCACTCGCTAAAGTCCATTCATGCTTAGTTTCAATTTAACACAAAAAGTAGCACGAAAATACCATTCGACACAAAACAGACACGAAAGTTAGCATGTTTGGCCCGCGTGGCCTTCGTATCGCTGGCCATAGCAGACGACGCAGTCTGTCAGGGTGTTGCGCTTCAGGCCTTAGAAGAACGTAATGTTTTTTTACGCAGTTTTTCACCATTTCCTACAGACAGCGATGAAGCCGCAGCATTACTTCACTGAATCAGTGGAAGTAAGCTAGCACGATATTAGTGACTACCTCCCCAAAGGGAATCCTGATGGGATGTGAAGCAGCTGCGGTGCGCAACGGGCGTCGACGCGGGTGCTGGAAGAACGGTTTGAAGCGAAGCTCGGATTAGCGTTTACTTGAGTACACGTTTGTTTGAAACGCAAAGACACCGGAGGCGGGACGCGTTGAAAACTTTTGCACTCGACTTCCTTCGCTCGGGTGTCATCAGTGTTACCCGCGCGCCGTCTGTATTCTGGAACGCGATGAGTGTTCTCGGTGGTCTTTCACTGCCGGCGCTTGTGTTCGGCTTCCCTGCTCGCGCCTCGTCGGTGTTCACGCCGCAATTCACGAACGCGATTGGCATCGCTAACCCTCGCAACGGCGGCGACAGCCGGGAAAGGTACGCGCGCACACTAGCGGGCAGCATGCCGCGACGGTGTCCCGCCCATTGCCGCGATCGCGTGGCAAGCAGCGGCGCGATGTTCACATTGTCGCCGTCGCGAGATTCTCGACACACGCGCAGTGTGCGCACCCACCAGATCACGGCTTCTTCTCGCCGACAGATGGAGAGAGGTGGTGCGGGTGAGATGGTGCCCACGTGAGAAGTGGGCTCGAGCATTGCGTGTGGTGGAGAGGTGAAGCGAGAGAGAGCTGACACAGGGTGAGCGTGCGGCAGGCTAGTGAGAGAGACGTCACCGTGCACTGCTAGGAGGGCGTGAGCTACTTGGCAGTTGGCACCGCTCCAACACGTGCGGCGAGATTAGCGGTGTGAACGGAGGGACAGCGTTTCACAGACTAGACAATCACATGCTTCGCATCTGAAAAAAGACGCTAAAGCTGCTGCGTAAGCAGGAGAGTGCTGGTGCAGCAACGAAACCTTGAGCGTCACGAGGATGCCTGCGCATGGCGGTGCCACGGTATGTCCTCGCACGCAGTATTTAGGGAGCTTGCAAGCAACGAGATTCCGCCCTCTCTCAGATGCTGAGGGAAGAGCGCAAAATGCATTTTATTTCTTTTTTATTAATTTTCCATTCATGTTTTCATAAAACAGAACATTCCACTAAACTTCATAATATCCCAGTCAACCGTTCCTTGCTAGAAACGAAGAGAACATGAACTACAGCAAAAGAACGAGTTGAAATAATCGCGAACACAAATTGTATGAACGAACTTTCATATGCTCTATGGCGCAGTTGTGATCTCTCATTGCTTAAAAGTGGGGGCGAAAGGTATTTTGTATAGTATATAGCACTTTCTCACCTCTCACTGCGCAAGCGATAAAAAAAAAGAAAAAACTGCATTCGAAAAGTTTTCACGAAGTGTGCATAGCCGATTTTGTTTGCGATGGCAGCGAAAGACTTTCACGCCATATAAACCAAACAAAACTTGCTGACATCGTCTTGAAGTCTACTGCGTTTTCTTACCGCAATTCATCTATTTGTCAAAAGTGATTATCAATAACTTAGCAGTAAAAAATGTAGAACAAAGCGGCGCTAATTTTACCCTTTTCATAAGTTCTGTGCAAATTGTGTGATTTGTTTCAATAAATGCAGTATGTTAAAATCTACTAGTCTAAGGTTAGGTTTAGCTACAGATAAGCTAGAAAAATAATCAGAATTATATTCTGGAGTGTGCAACTAAATGTACCTATAAAGTCTTCCAAGGTAGCGATAAGTTCCCCGAAACCCTTTCTCTCTAACATTTTGTCCGGTCATTTCATATTCTCGTACAACTTCATCGTTCGTCAATATTCTTATCACGTTTTGAGTAATAGTGTGAGCTTTCTTTTTATTTATTTCTCTCTATGCCTGCCTGAAGTAATCATTAAACGCTCTCTTTTCTCAGGCTCATTTATGGCCATGCATGCCACACTGAAGCATATAATATATACTCTCTGCCTGTTCCTTACGAGGAAGATTAAGGGGGTAATAGACCACCTCACTCAGTCGATCTTCAGGGCAGGGCAATCCCTGCTTTCTTGAACAAATTACGTGGGTGTAATACTTATACTGCCCCCGCGTCTTTCTTGAACAGTCAGTCCTCTGAGCACCACTCGCTGATCGCATACGCACAGTGGGCCACAGTCGCCGCCATGCAGCAGGCTAGAAGTCGTTCAAGTGCCCACGCGCGCGCACACACACACACACCACACACGCGCACGCTCATTCACGGGTGCGCGGCCGATGCACGCGGAGAGTCACTCGGCCCGGGTCATTCCTGCGCCTTCCAGTCCTGTATACACACGCTGCCCAGTGGTCGAACGCACACGCACAGTTTGTTTTGCTGACGGTGTCCCACATCCGTGCTGCTTCGGCTGCTCGTCCCGGAATGATCACATCACCACAGCTGTCTCGGCAGCAATGCATCACGCAGAGTTTTTTCTCGTCAGCTACCAATCTTCGCTATATCTTCTATTTCCGCCTCTTTTTTTACGGGAGCGATTTGCGATCTGCGTTGACCTTTCGCAGCAGCACATCACAACTTCTTTTGGGTGGCATTCATTGGTTTTCAAATGTCATCCAACGGAACAGCCATGTCACGAGAAGCATTGCGCGTCACTTTTTTATGGGGTTTGCACACCGGCACACACAACATGAAGGGAACAGGAACCAGTCCATGAAGATTCCTTTACAGTCGTCATCCGGGTCGTAAGCCAGGAGCCTATGCCACTTGTACTTCTGCTCGCAGCTGCAGTCGTTGTTGCACTTCTTGGTCTGCACGGACCTGAAACCATTGTAGAGTGGGCTCAATAAAGAGAATTTTCTATAGGCACAAGGTGGGCTTTCTTCGAGCATGAGTTCCTTTATTCAAGTGTGAAAACACTGAAATTTAATCGGGAGCTGTCTTTTGGGGTCGTAAAATTTTAAATTTTGGAGCCGAATATTCTTGATTTGGAGCCGTTAGCAGCGTTTAATATGTCATCTTAGGAGCTTAAGAGACTTGAAGAAACTCGGAGGATTCCGAGTAAATATTCTAATGCGCTTAGAATACACATAGCAATCAAACAGCATTCGTAGAAAATCGTTTCTTTAAAACATAACACTTGCAGGTATGAACTACACTACCATTCGACATACCACACGACCAATCTAGCAGGCTTGCTCCGTCGCAGTGGTCTAGTGGATAAGGTGCTCAGCTGCCGACCCGCAGGTCGCGGGATCTAATCCGGGCTACGGCGGCTGCATTTCTGATAGAGGCGAAAATGCTGTAGGTCCATGTGCTCAGATTTTGGTGGGCATTAAAGAACCCCAGGTGGTCAAAATTTCTAGTCCTCCACGCGGCGTCTCGCATATTCTTATGGGGTGGTTTTGGGACGTTAAACTCTACATATAATTCAAATGTAGCCCACGTAATAAACAACATTAAAAATAACTGAAAATAAGTTTGTTCATAAATATTTGAAGAACAAAAAAGCGTCACACTTTCTCAAAAATAAAAATAAAAAAGAATTATTACTACAGAATAACAGTAGTTACGTACCAGTAGAGTCTTCGCTTGAAGTGATATGTTTATTTTTTGCAAATTACAGCGTTGGCTTTTTGTGGGTCTGCATATATACTTTTTAAATTTCCATCAGCGCTTCCTGCAGTTCCGTGTCACTCTTTATCACGATAATATCACGGTAAGCGTCTGTAGCGTTCTGCTCAGCCACGGCGTTGGTGTGGCGTCATGAGTACTGCACGCTTTTAACAGGCGACAATACAAGCGCGCTGCCACCCCGTGCGGGACCACTTTTAAAGGGACCCTGAAACACTTTTTGAAGTAACCATCGCATGAATTCACTGGAAGAGCTCATTGCCTCATGAATTCAACGCCGCAAAAAAAAAATTAAGAATCCGTCCAGTGCGAGTGGAGTTACAAAGGTTTGTCGCATGCTGCAATTTATTCTCTCGTCCCGACGAAAGTGCTCGAGGCTAAGAAGGGAGAGATGGCAGGGCCATAAAAAAAAGCCACGCGCGCTTCGTAACTTTGAGCACTTCTTTCATTTTTTTGTTTGAGTGCGCGGCTTTCTCAGTGTGATTGCGCGTGCACGCGTGGACAAGTAACGGCCTCCCACGGTGATCTCTGTAACGAGCAAGCGCACCATGTTCAAATCAGCTAATGGCTGATAGGTAGGTCGTTGACGTGTGATTTTTTGGGCATATAACGTGATTTGCTGAGAGAAGAACAGCAATTTTTAGCTCACTTTGATAATTTGTTGTGAATTCCAGGCCGCGTTGTGTGCTGTAATATTTGGCTCGCGTGTTGTCGGGATCCTGTGCTATTGATCGGCAGCATTTTCTGACCATGCTAAAAAGTGTTGCAGGGCCCCTTTAAGAGTGCGGCGCGGGCACAGGGAACCTCGCCGCACTGACTACAGCTAAGTGCCGCTACAACAACGTTGCCGCGACGCGCAAAAAAGTTCGCTGTCGCAGCATTGTATCGCAGCGAAGTTTTGTGAAGTCAGCAAGATTTTATTATGATTGGTTTTATGTTTGTTCTTTGGTTCCAGCAAGTGCATCCATTGTCTTTGTCATTGTAATTTTGATAACTCAGACGTACACATGGCCGCACACCAAGTGAATGTATTTTCTGTCGTATGACATCTACCAAAATTGTAGCTGAACTTGGGGTGTGCGTTATACGTGAATTCCTGTGTGCAGGTTGGCTTCCCGGCGCGCTTTCTCCGTAACGCAAGAAAAGTGGCTTTGATCCCAACAAGTGTATCTTTTATTTTTCCCCCAGGGTTGCCTATTATTGGGCAAAAGGGTGAGGGTGGAATGCCAATTGCGTGCTGTGGTGGGTCATACACGAGAAAATACAATATTCAGACAACCCTCAAGGTGTGCAGAGTGAAATTAGCGAGCCAAAGCTTGTCTAATGACCCACTTTAAACACTAGGTATCAAAGCTGAAGCCGTACCACAGCCACAAGCGAACGCAAGAAAGTTGTAACGCTTCCCTGCTGTAACAAATTTATTGCATTTAATCTCCCTCTGTGTTGGCGGTGTACCTCAGAAATTTTTTCGCTGTCAAATGTTGCGACAATGCTGCGCATCAGTTGCGCCATTTCCGATTTCAGTCGGTGTGCTCCGCCCGTGGGTATGCCTTCAGAGCTGCGTCGTTGCTATCCGTGATCGCGTCTACCGTGGTTTTGTCTGCAGTGCTGCTCTAAATCAGTGTGCGTTGAATGCGCGCGTAGCTTCGGAATCTCTTTGACACGACCACGTCAGTGTTCGCAGCGGTTCCAGCAAGTTGTAAATACGCTTAGACTAGGCGAACGTTGGCCGCTATGCCTACATAACACTGTGGTTGTCATTCACGATCTCAAGTGACCACGCGCAGCCGCATCGACCCGAAAATTGCAGAGAATAGAAGGACACGCTACGCACAACAGAGAACCGGTTGGCCAACACCGCTATAGGCATCCCACTTGACAGTTTTTGCTGAGCGACAGTCGATGGAGCACACATCCAAACAATTGAAGCACGCTCGAAAGACAGCAGCACATTTTGGGTGGGCACACATATTTATAACTGCCCAGAGAGAGTTTGGCAACACCATTGGAGCCTTCATTTTAGAAAGGTGCATGAAAGAAACTTCGACACGTCCGCACATTCTGCAAATGTCTCATTTGCTTGGTATCCCTGGCACTCTTTGCAAATTTAAGCAGTCAACTCAGCTTTTTTTGGCCACTGAAGCTGACATGTAAATAAAAATTCTTGCTTCGCCACTGAAGCTGACATGGAAATCAAAATTCTTGCTTTTGAGGTTGAAATCGGAGGAGTTCTACAAAAGTTTTGCTATCTTTATCCTTTTGGAGTAGCTTGGAGCAGGAGAACAAAATGATATCATACACGCGCAACTTGCGCATCTGACTGACCCCTGTATTGCTCAGAGGAGGTGTACTCATGGTGTATGTAGTGTATATAAAATCAAACTGCTACGACAATCGCTTACTATGCTAATGGTAGCGTGCATTACAAAATAAATTGTCACCTATTGCGATGTGAAAGGCGCTACGCTACGCCCTAAAATAGAAAACAGTATCTTTGAGGTATACGTACTGGCAGACTTCTTGCTGTATCGCCTGCTGCAAGTGCTGCGTGTTGACAATGGCTCGAATCTTGCCAGCGCTGTTCGATGCCCAGTATGGTGTGACAATTTCCACAGCCGACTCGCAGGCATCCACTCTGTGAGAGAAGAGGTAAGCAGCTCGGCTCAGTAGTGTTCAACATGTTGTTACAGTTTATATGCGTGATGACATCTTCATACTTAAATTATCTCGTGCCTAATTTCGATTGCTTTAAGCGAAGCTACTTGACCTTAAGAGGTTGTTCTTTTTTTCTTCCTCGAAGCTCCATTCTTATAGATGTGAATTATAAATATAAACTACAATTCACGTAAAGATATCCGTTACGCAAAGTTAGGCAAAAAAGAGGACTACATATTTCCATGAAACATAATTCCACGAGAGTGCTACATAGTGACAAAGAGAACACTTCCATGAATGGCATTAGGGTCTGGCGTCGTAAAAGCAAAACAAAAATATGAATTTGTCTTATATGATTGCTGCCATCAATATTTACAAGCTAGGCGCATGCCGTGTCTTTACAGCCTTCCACTCCTTCTGTCCTATCTACTGTGCCCATTACTTTCTTCACTGAGGGCCTTTCCTGTCACGCTGCGTCACAGAATAAAGAACCACTCTTCCATACGGTAATCACAAAAGTGCACTGATGGTAGTAGTTAAATATGTGGCAGTATCAACTTGTTCAAGTTGATGACCTTATAATGATTACACAGGTATAGCAGGTAGATTTCATATCTGTGCGTGTCTTGGTAATTTCAATTTTTTCTGTAAGAGCTTAACGTAGCTACTGGCTTCAACTGTGATTTCTTATCTTAATCATTGAAAGTGAGTGTTCGCTACGTACCAATGTTCCTGAAAAGGAAGGTACATAACAGCTATTTGTTACTGGCACTTACCTACGGAGCCAAAACCTCGAGGCTTACAAAGGTGGTTCAATTGAAATAGAGAACGACGCAGCAAACAATGGAAGAAAAAAACAAGAGGTACAACTTTCACGGACATCAAAGAGAAGAGCGGTTCCGGAACCAAATGTTCCGGAACCGCTTCACACCTTCCCACACCTAACAAAGGTGTGGGAAACACACCTTCTGTGAATTCTAGCAGTGGAGTGTCACAAAGAAATATGACGACATTCAGCCGCTCCGCGGGCGGTTTTGCGCTTCTTGTGGAGTGTTGCTTACTTTGCGAGCACTCGGTTCAACATGACTCCTCATAGAATAACCAAGCCCTAGTGAATCGTCTTTATAGCGTTGAAGCACACGTAGTCAATACTGTCAACTTGCTGCCGACACTATCACATGCTCTATGAGGCACTGCACACTTACTGCGACGTTGATGTTAACTCAATGCATTTTACTGATGAATTAACGATGCTGCTAATGATTGTTTTCCATCTTCTGAGGCCAGCAGACTTCCAACGAGCACTGCAATTTAGCGTGCAGCCTCCATATTCCTCTCATACCTCGATAAAGAAGGCATTATATTGCACGTCAATAAATACTTAATTTATTCGTGGATATGCGGAAAAAGCAGAACAATAGGACTTGATTCAGATTACGCTATGTAACTTCTTATTTAGGTTTTGCTTTTAATTTGTTGTTAAAAGTGTTATCAGATAAATTATTCAATACTTCGCAAGTTTAATAAACCCCTAAACATGCTTAGCGGCTCAACATGACAACGAACAGCGAGTTGCTCAATAACAACGACTTTGTTGTATTTGCGCAATAAGCGCGTGTTTTTTTTTCTTTTTTTTAATGCTTTACATGAGAGACATGAAATGCGCGGTGAACGGGGACGCAACGAACATTCCCCCGAGTGAAAGTCGTGGTTGTGAATCATTGTACGTTAAAGGAAAGCTGAAGAAGTTTTAGAATTCAATCAAACTTTGTGTTTAGGAAGGACAGATGTTATTGTTGACGATTTCGTAATTGTTTTCGCGTTTGTAGCAGCAGGATATTAAGAACAGGCGAAATAAAAGCTTGTCTTGCCCCGGTCCCACGAGCCCGCTGAAAGTGTGGGCGTGGAAACATACGTCATCTTCGTTTTCTCTGGCCCGGAGCGAGTCTCCGTGACTAACCCATGACGCACCGTTGCCGGAACTAATCAAAGAGGCCACACTTTATCAGTGCTGCTGTTGCAGATGACGTGGAATGCCGAGAATGACGTCACCGTGTTCGCTCAGCGTCTCAAGAAACCCGGCGGCCACGGCCACTGTTTTTTCACTAAAAAGTGCTGTTGGCGTTCACTTTTGAGAACTATCACATCGGTTTTCTAATTCAGCATGGACCAAACTGTGCTTACACGCCCCTAAGTCATTTTTTTTAGAAAAGTGCTTCAGCTTTCCTTTAAGGAAAACAGGTTTTCGGAAAAGCTGCTTTCATACTAGCTAAGTTGCAACATATTTTATAAAGTAGTTTGTCACTTTTGGGAAGTATAATGTGTCTGTGTGTTTTCGTGGGTGGTATACATATCGTAATAATTGCTGTTATTGCTATTTTATTTTTTCACTATGAGTGGGGGAGGAAACAGACAAAGAGCCACTACGGTTATGGTAGCTGACCCGAAGGTAGCACCATCAAATCCCGGCCCATGGCAGCCGCATTTTCAATAGGGGCGAAGACGCTTGAGGCCCCCCGTGTGTGTAAATTTCCGTAGCTCTCCACTATGGTGCCCCTCATAATCGTATCGTGGTTTTCGAACGTTAAACCTGAGCCCGAAAATTATTATTATCTAGAAGAAAGCACTCTCCCAGAGCACAGCTTTCCGTGATCTGAATCGCCGCCAAAGACTCACTTGTTGGACGATGCACCGGCGAATGAGGAGCGAGACCTCTCTGTCCTGGTGTGGATGGTCTTCCCGTCGTACGTCTCATAGTGGTCCCGGTGGCCACCGTCCTCGTCGGGCGACGAGTACTCGCCGAACATTCGCCGAATAAGCGCCTTGTTCTCGTCGATGAACATGTCGATGCGTTCCCTGCGAGCCACCACCCACATACGTTTCGCAATGCGCTTTCAGCATAGGCAAGCCAAGACATCCATAAGCAACGTGCCCAGTAGGCGCCGCAGCCAATGGGAATGACGCACACTGCTTGCAATTATAAGTGCGCGGCCAATGTTTTGGAACGCGTGGGTCAGCGTCGTCGACAATACCTTTTAGGTTTATCGCTACAGTCAGGATTTAGCTTTCAGATGCCGCTGGTCGGACTATGTGTAGAACAAAAAAGTAATGACGTGGCATGGATTGCGCACGAAAATGTGCGCAAAGAGTACCACGCAATGACTAGTGACGACTGATCATATTTTCTGTAGGCCTTAATATGAATGGTCCCAGAGACACACGTCCCATAATCGTAAATTTAAAAGCCGTCTTTATTATTTTTTGTGGCATATCACATGAATATCCTGCTCTTCCTCTGCTTTTCTTCATTTTTTTTCTTTTTGCAAAAGACTTCACTTAGTGTCTTTAACGTTATATATTGTTATATATCATAATGAGTTATATATCCACACACTATGAAGGAATTTGCAGAGCTCGTTATTTGCTCTCAACTTTCCAATCGCTGCCTTGTTAATGCTTAAAACTTTCCATGCTTAATACCACTCAGTGGAGTACATTGATGCGAGGAAATTTGAACACCTTTCGAGAACGCGTTGTCGCATGCATCACTCACTCTGACATCATACATAGCTTCTGTGCCGCTTATACTCCACAAAATCGCTTATGAAGGCAGCCTGCCGCTGACTGCAGCGACCGAATTAACAAACGATATTTCACATACAAAGAAATGATCAAGTTTCACTCTTCAGGCCCTGCAAGTAAAATGTCCTCAGAAGAAACATTCATCATCAGTCAACCGTGCACAACTTGAAACTTGTGGTAGTGACGAACACCGATCAGTATACCATGCATGCAGCGTGCTATCGTGCAACCACATTCACCTAAAGCTACGTGTTGACAAACGACGTTTAATGAGGAAACGTGCAATGACGACGAAAGTATAACGACAAGTCCAACTGATACGCAGGCAACCTGAAAGAGGCCTGGCGTTCAGTTCTTAAAGTTGCTTATTATATCTTGCATAATATTCCACGTTCGTCGACAGATCACTCCTTATATTTCTCAGGTTTTATCTCCGCGGTATCCTACATATAGTATCAGCGGCGTTGTTTAGTTTACCACAACTTCCAAGGTACAATTCCAGGCCGCGGCGGCACTTAAAAGAGGACGTAATGCAAAAATGCCCGTGTACTTAAATTTGTATTCATGTTTAACCGCCCCGGAGTATCAGGCATCAAAACCGATCTGAAGCGACGGCACGTCATTGACATACCCGGGCATTTTTAGTCGGAAATTTTGTCATAGGTCTTTTAAGCCTCACCCACAAACGGATATCCTGTGCGCTGTGTGACCATCTCCTGACCAGAGATAACGGTTGTGTTCTACAGTTATAAGACATCCGTTCCCATGACCCTCAACCATGGTTTGCTGGCTCGGTGCCTCTGCGCGAACGACTTCTAGGGTGCTTCATTCGCACAGTCAACAGGTGACTGCGTGACCAGCATGGCTGAAGATTGAAGAGCAGCCCGCGTCCCTCATGCTCTCACCCAGGGCCTCGGTCACATTATAGTGGGCTAGACAGTATCATTCACTGCAGGGAAACCCTGTAAGCTAAATGGCTTGTGTGGAAGGTTATCGCTGGGCCGCACACGCACGAGTCTATGGGGCTGTCGCCTGCTTGACGTTCACGTCACGTTTCGCTCGACGTGACTGGTCTTACACTAACGAGAGACAGATAGAGCCACGGATAAGAAAGCGCGGTTGTCCGAGGTCACGCAAGTCGATCGACGGTGCGCTCGATACGCGCAAGAGCCGCCGTTTCTCCGCTTGACTAATCGGCTCACTTCCTTACAGCCACACGAGCCGCTAGTATCCTTTCCGTGCGGCTCGCATGCGTTCTTCGTTCTTCTGTCGATGAAGCGAAAAAGGCCACGATGTGTTTGGCGCTTGTGCACTTGTCATCTTGACAAATAACTCCACTTGGGGAAATTTTTCAAAAGTAGGCAAACGTGAGAGAGGGGGTACTACCTAATATCCCACAAAGAACAAAAGCTGTACGTATCATATCTGAGGGCTGAAGAAAAAAAAGTGAGAGACCAATTACAGTTTCACACAGTGAAGATCGTCCATGCAACCTTGAGAAAAAGCATCCTTCACATTTTCGAAAAATTTCCACAACAGTGAAATGAATCGTGCAAACAGGTGTGCACAAGTCGTGGCATGCAGAAGGTATCCTCTTCGTGACAGGCGTGCTTCCAACCGGGCATGCCGGGGACAGGCTTCGTGCATGTTGGAAGGGATTTCCAGCGCGTATGCTTCACTTCGCAGCAAACACACGACAGTCGAGTGCCACTGCCCTTTTACTCTAATAGTTCTGAATAAAAGAGGAGCTTCGCTGAATGTTTTATTGTTTCACCTCCGGGTACCGAAAAATTTGCAAAATGGTTAATGAATACGGTGCATTCATTTTCAGTAATTGAGCACTTGCTCTAAAAGAATAATCAGACATAGTTAACGAGCCGTGATTGAGTTATTAACGCTGTTGGGCGTTTGGCCCTTGGTCTGTCGCGCATTTCGGTGCGTCGAGGCGTCGCACATAGGAATCCACAGCCACGTGCACACTGTGATGTCTGTCTACCTACCTTTTGACTCTTTTCCCCTTGTACCTTTCACCGCCTTCAATGCCTGTCCAATTGACTCTGCAGGATAACGGGAAGCACAGCACTGACGCAAACTCCAGAGAATTTTCTCAGCTAGAGCGCTTAGAGCACTGAAGTCCTCAGACTTGGTCATGAGTGTTCCGCAACACAAACAAGCAACCACATTCGACCGAGAGCTTTTACATCATAACGGACGTAATGTGACAGAAAAATGGTTTCTCTACCGGACCAAAACGTTGTGGGCTGTATACTTGGTGATCAAGTCAAGCCCACATTTCTGAAAACGAATCAAACCAGGTTAAACGCTCAATATGAGGTGAGCTGATGCATGAACGCAATCAGAAGCGTAGCCAAGATGGAGATGAGGGGTGGGTGGGTTAGAAACACTCCCTCCCGAAATTTTCAATTTTGCTTGTGCATGAATACACGCACAGATACAAACACAAGCATGAACATACACAAACATAACTGAACACCTCCCCCCTCTGAAAAATTTGTTTTGTTGACGCCCCTGAACGGAATCGACGGATACTACATCGATGCAGGAACGTCATTGCTTACAAAGTTCATAAAAATGCTAAGTAACAATTAAACCACAAAAATTATTACTATCTAGGCAGCTACGTAAGCTGCAGTTGCGCTATATAGAGATAGCAACCATGTGCAAAGCAGTATAGCATAGAGAGGAAGCTCACAGGCTGAAAACGGTGACTAAAATATGTCTCACTTCAAGTATTGAAAAGTGCTCGTATAAAACACTGGTGCAGTGGCTAATCAGGGGCGAACTCTAAGCACGCAGAATTCGTTTCGGCGTATGCTTCGGCAGCTGCGTTTATGGTGATACCGCTGTTGAGAATGTTGGTATTCAATACATAACGATCACCATGTTGCTTCTTTAGCACTTGCAATATTACGAGTTCGGGCAACAGTAAACCTTGGACAACAACAACAACAACAACAACAACAACAACAACAACAACAACAACAACAACAACAACAACAATAATAATAATCATAATAATAATAATAATATTAATATATTATATTAATAGTAGTATAATTATTAATAATATAAGGGCCATAGACATAATATTTTTCAGAGTGACTGGCCATCAATAAACCTTTATGTAGGTTGGTTGTACATGAGTTTGTATGTATGCATGTAGGTCTGTTAGAAAAGTATCCGACCTTGGATGCAAGAAAAAAAAACTGGCAAGACTGCAGCGTTGTAAAACAAAGTAGTTCCTTGAAGTAGTCCCCTTGGGACTACACATACTTCTCACAGCGGTGCTGCCGTTGTTGGAAAGATTCTGAGAATGGAAGGCCTCTTTCGGAATGGAGTTTAGCTCAGTTGTCGTTGCAGCCATAATGTCCTTCCCTGTATCAAATTGCTGGTATTTCAATGTTCTTTTGAGTTTGCGAAACAGCCAGTAGTCGCAGGAGGGGATATCAAGATAGCAAGGAGCCTGTTTAACTACAGGAGTATGTCTTTTCGCCGAAAACGTCTGAACCAAGTGTGAGGAATGTGCAGGAGCATTGTCGTGATGGATGCGCCAGTTGCCTATTGACCACAACTTATGTCTCTTGCACCGCACAGCGCCACGTATGCGATGGAGGACATCCCTGTAGTACTCTTTGCTGATTGTTTGGCCTTCTGGCACGTACTCGTGGTGTACCACACAGCGGAAGTCAAAGAAAGCAGTCAGCATCACTTTGACGTCGCTGCGCACTTGGCGGGCCTTCTTTGGTATTGGTGACGTGGAGTGTTTTCACTGTGACGACTGCGATTCGGTTTCCGGGTCGTACTCGTACACCCAAGACTCGTCACCAGGGATACTGGGATTCATCAAGTTAGGGTCACTGCTTGTGAAATTCAGCATGTCCTGTAAGGCTACAACATGAAGTTGCTTTTGCTCCACCGTGAGCAATTTCAGCACTAATTTCGACGCAACTCTCTTCATGGCCGACTCTTCGGTCATAGTGAAATGGCCAGAGAAAGTGCTGATGCTCACTTCTTCCATAAATTCTCGGATAGTCACATGACGATCCCGCATCACCACAGCGCTCACTACGGCAATGACCTGGTAATTTCGGCATGTTCATGGCCGACCGGGGCATGGCTTAATCTCCACCGATGTGCGGCTGTCTTTAAACCGGTTTTATCACTCCTTAACTTGGGTGCGGCTCATAGCGTCGTCACCGAAAGTCGTCTTGATTTTCCGAATGATTCGCACTTGGCTGTCGCCCAGTTTATGGCAAAATTAGTTGCAGTAGCGCTGCTCCAGCCACTCCACATTTTATTTGCAAGGGAAAAACGACGACAGCACTTCACACCACCTCACTGAAAGGTTGCATCCCAGTGACTGACACTATTGGAAGGCGAGAAAAAAAATTCCCGCATGCGCACGAAGGCCCCAAGTCACCTGATGCAAGCGCGCGTGTTTCAAATCTATAAGGTGCTCGCAAAAAAAAAAAAAAAAACTAAGGTCGGATACGTTTCTAAGAAATGTCTCCAAAATTACAAAACATGGAAAGTTTGTTCGATGCTATCACAATTACTCATTCCGTAGCCACAAGAATCTTAAGATGGCTAAATACATCAGTTGTGACAGTAATCAAGCAAGTAAAATTAATTTGTTTCTTAATTTGTTAGTCAGGCAGTTATGTCACTTAGAAGAATTTAGTGCAAAGGGATCACAACTTCAAGATAGAGAAGTGACCCCTAGTAACTATTGTGACGTAGTGAAATTTAACCAAATTTAGCGGCGTAACCGAACCATCCATGAGCACAAGCAGACCAGAATTACGTCGGTACACAGGTTAGGTTAGGTTAGGATGTTGTAGGTCACCGGCGGATCTAGCCTTGCATAATTTGCAGGCAATTGCACCGCCTGGTTTCCTCTTTGGTAACTGTAGCTAATGTCCTTTGTTTGTTTTTGTAACTAAGCACGAGCAGGCTCTTAAAATAAAAATCCTGCATAGCGCGACGTAAGCTAGCCTGCATAAGACGGTGGCCTCTGTGCTATTCCACATGCAGTATTGTGCCGGTACTCAATCTCACTTCACCATACCCCTAACATGATTGTCACTTATCACCAGTCACATGCGAGGTTTGTAGCATTAAAAAATTCAAAAGAAGTCGCGACACCCGTTTCCTGAAGATCGAGTGACCACGCGGAAACACAATATCAGTCACGCTGTCACATGGCGAGCCTAAACATTGCAGTTCCTCAAAGAAACCTTGCCCTTCCTGCTTAAGCCCACAACACTTAAGCAAATAGTGTTCTATATCAGCATTTTCTTCGCACTTCGAGCACAAGGGCGCCGCGGAGAGTCTGATCTTGTGGATCCATGCTGGTGTACGCGCTGATCCCGTTCGGATACGATGAAGCAAGCAGGCCTCTTCCCTTGATAGCCCTTCTGTCACACATGGATAGTGACGTGTCAGCCACAACAAGTGAAAATGATTATTGGCAGCTTCTCATAAGATACGCTGATTGTCTTTGGGAGCCTTTTTTGTTGAGGCTCCAGAGCACTCCGGGCATGTCTGTCAGCTGCCTTATTACCCGCAATACACACATGTGATGGAATACATTGAAACGTGATGTTTAGACAATGTCATGTAGGTCTTTAAGGATTCGCAGTGATCTTTGAGTGCATCAATCCAAAACCAATCCATGTTTAGCCGCTGCAAAGTGGGCTTACTGTCCAAAAACAGCACGACTTGTTGCTGCCTACAAAACTTCAGTTTCTTCAGGGCTACTTGAATTGCCATGCTTTCACATGCTGTCGATGAAACAACGCACTCGAGTCGCGCTGCTCAGGACGCCTTTGGAGACGGGATTACAAACACTGCAGCGCTTGCTCCGCGCACTATGTCGACCGATCCATCGGTAAAAACTTTGAAATGACCGGCGTGCTTTTCTTCAATATAATCAAGTACAAAAAAAAAACGTACCTTTGCTGTGGGTGTGGAACGCTTGCTGTGCATCCGTAAAATTGTCACCTGACAGTCGACATCCTCATGTGACCAAGGTGGGTCTTGTCGAAGTTGTCTTTGGGGAAATCAATGCCAAGATGGTGAATAGTGTTGAGGGCTACGAAAGCTCGCGATTCCGTGCGTCACTGAAGGCGACTGAGTAGTTCTCGTCCTGGGCTCGATTCGTCAAGTCGGCAAAGCTGTGTCAGCAGTCGTTGAGAGGCGACAAGACGTAACAGTGGAAGGCGAGCTTCATGAAGCACCTTCATGCTCGCTGCCAACTTTGGCACTCCCAAAGCAACTCTCAGGCCTTTACGATGAAGTTTTTCTAGTCGTTCGTACTGTGACTCACTCGCAGAAATCAGACGCAATCGGAAAAGCACAGGATTCACAATTACTGCCGCACGTAACTTTATCATTGCTGTTGGCTGGCTCCCCCAGCTTGTTCCTGCCATCCTTCGAAGAATGTTTACACTGGGTGAGAGCGCTGACGTTGTCCTGTCTACTGCCCGTCGCCAATTCATTGTGGTGTCTAGTGTGACTCAAAGGAATCTCACGTACTTAATTTTCTTAATTGGTGCATCAGGAAGGAATATTTTCATACTTGTTTCTCGTCTTCGCATTTCTGGGAATAGCATCAATCGAGACTTTTCAGCTGATATTGTTAGTCCAATAGATTCAAAATAGGTTTGTGCGGAGAGTATAACTCTTCGGCTAATCATTTCCAATCGCTTATGCTGATATTCAGACAGCCAGATGCATATGTCGTCAGCATAAATTGATATTTGAACTGCTTGATTGATTGATTGATTGATTGATTGATTGATTGATTGATTGATTGATTGATTGATTTGTGGGGTTTAACGTCCCAAAACCACCATATGATTATGAGAGACGCCGTAGTGGAGGGCTCCAGAAATTTAGACCACCTCGGGTTCTTTAACGTGCACCCAAATCTGAGCACACGGGCCTACAACATTTCCGCCTCCATCGGAAATGCAGCCGCCGCAGCCGGGATTTGAACCCGCGCCCTGCGGGTCAGCAGCCGAGTACCTTAGCC